CCCCCTTTAATCCTCTACTTTTTTGCCTCCTTGATTCGCCCATTTAGTTCATAGCCCTTCTCCTCCCTTCCCCTCCCTCCTTCTCCCCGTGCGTTTCTAGGCATTTGACTTAAACGTTTTGTAGACGATTATGCGTAGAACAAAATTAAACACTGAATCTAAGTCTGGATTTTTCAGAGATATACCGGAACATGTAAGCGGATTGTTGGATGCTTATATTAACAAGGGAAGTTAATCAGTGCGTGACAAGCAACAATTTGACCGTTTTGCTCCTCTAGGTGAGCACGATGTTTGAGGATCAAGCTGATTTATCCACAGAACAAGCCGATTTTTTCCAGCGCAATATCACCGACAACAAAAGGGAGGTTTACGCCTTTGACTTTTTTTAAAATATTCGCCCTTTCAATATTCGTTGCTGATAGTGAATTACCTAGTAGCTTTCGAAGCGAATATTCTTGCATCAAGACTCTTGTGCGTTTGGAAATCTTTCTAAGATCAGTTGTCAACTAACATGCAAGAAACGTAGCAAGTTATTAGTAACTTAGTGGGCTGTGCGGGAATCGTTAGTCACTAGCTAATGAGCTGCATATCAAAGATTAGGAAACATAGTACATCTTACAGTTTTTGACACTACAAAAATTAATATAATATAAAAATTAAATAGTGACGCACACCACTGTAATCGTTGTGATCATGTATTTTGCGCGTTTATGTCTGGCACTCGTTTATAGCTAAGAATTTTTACTACTTTACACTTTGGTGTACGCAGTAATACTCAAAGTGTTGTTTGGCTCCTAAGTTGCGAAATTCCCCACCGAAAATTTTACTTGGTCACACGCGAGGGCTGAATTTAAGTTGATAGGATTACATATGAACAGAGAGCTTTCTCCAAAAATTTTAGCTGTTTAGTGTGGTTTTGGAACTAAAAATTTCCCATGCGAAGTTTTTTTGTGTTCGTCCGCGAGACTTAAGCGGATACGAAAATTAATTTTGAAATTCCAGGATAGCACATTAATAAAAAGCATCTTAATTTCCAGCTTTTCATTTTGCCCGACTTCTAAGGCAAAAAATCCTTCTCTAGTATACCTATTTTTACATATGTGGAACCTAGATGTGTTTAGCTTGAATTTATACGGTCGCACACAGGCACAAAATATTCTTATAAAATGTCTGCTATCGATCTTTGTCCAGCTTCCCAGTCAAAAAATTTCCCCCCAAAACTTTTGTGTAGTAGTAAGTGACTCTCGGGCGTAAATAAAAGCTAAATTCGATTCGAAAATTATTTTCCTTGAAAATTACTATGAATTCTAAAAAGTTCAAAAGCTGCATTTAAATCATTTTATTCATAAACCCAGGCTAGGATGCACCAGACGAGCTGGTGCGATCAAGTGTTTTTGCAGCAAACTTGAAATAATTAGGTTAGCTGCATGAATGATGTGCCGTAAATCATAAATACCGTAAATCGTCGCAAATTTGGCGTAAAAGAGAATAAACAATTTCCCTTTAGTGGTCGTTTTTGGAAACGACCCAGCTTTTCAATGAGTAATTTCCTCGCCAAAAATTTAAGTGACCATACACGAGAACCATGCGTAGCTGGAAGCTGAACTTGAAACCTTTAAGTTGTATTTGGATGGAAGATATTCTTCTCAGCTCTTCTGATTCCCGAGTTAGCAATTTTCCCACCAAAAACTTTCATGAGGCCGAATGTGAGAACCACGCACGCCTGGGGCTTGAACTCGATGATTTTAAGTCATACGTGAGCGACGAACATTCCCTTCAAATTTCAGCCTCATGGCTTTTCTGGTTCCCAAGTTAGCGATTTCCCAGTCAAGAATCCTCACGGGACCGTACGCGGGAACTGCGCACATCGGGGCTGAATTTGAAATCTTTGAATTCTATGTGGACGGGAAATATTAACTCAAAATTTCAGCCTCCTAGCTCTTCTTGTTCCTGAGTTAGCAATTTTTCCGTCAAGACTTTCACCCTATAGTATGCTGGACCCACACTTCCGTGAGAGTTAGCACCGCGGTCCTGGAGTGGCACTTGGACGGGGAACCCATTGGCAAGATTTTGGCGCCGGAGGTTGCTTGATTGCCGAGTTGAAACACTCGGACAAACGAACACACAAACACACACAGGCAGGGTCGTCGCAATGTGAGTTTTTGCAATTCGCATGTAAGCAGAAATGCACAAAAATTACGAACTGCCATAAAATGACTGAATAAAATAGTTACAAATTTTAGTGAAAATACATTAATGGACCAAAATTTTCAACATGGACCTGCATTCTAATTAGGAGTTTTTTTGAGGTGATTTTGGAAATTTTTGGTAGAAAAAGAAAAGGCTTCAAAAAGTTTTAGAATAAGTGCGGTAAATATTGCCTTTTGATTACCATTTAAGCTTTTCATTTTTACGCGTTTTTGCATATATGTAAATTGCAAAAACGCATAATGGGAAGAGGCTGTCTATGTGTGTGTGTGTGTGTGTGTGCGTGTGCGTGGGTGTGTGTGCATGTGTGTCTGTGTGTTCGCACTTTTTGTCACCCACTTTCAACTCGAGACCCAGAAAAGCTAGAAGGCTGTAACTTTGGGGATATGTGCCCATACTATGCGCGACCCTCCCGTTTTAGTTTCATCCCCCTTGGATGACTGGGTGTCGTGTACTGACGCTTTAAAAAAATATGCAAATTTTTTGGCGGGAAGGCGATCTTGGGAACTACATGAGCTGAGGGGCCGAAACTTTGTAGGGATATTTCCTGTGCATGTACTAGCTAAAGATTTCAAAATCAGCTTCCAGGTATACGTGGCACTCACGCAAGGGCGTTTGAAAGTTTTAGGGGGAAAATTGCTAACTCGGGTAT